CGAGGATGTGTCCCTCGACCTCGGGAGCGAGGAGGAGCTGGCGCTGCGGAAAGCAAAGATCAGGTAACGGCGCGGGGAGCGGAGCGGGCACGGAGGCTCCAGCGCGGCGCCCGCCTGAGGTAACGGGGCCCGGGCAGCCCCTGCTGCTCCAGCTGGACCCACCCGCCAAAATGCTCCATTTAAACACTTCATTCCCGTTTTGTTATTTCAGGGCACAGGGATCGCGGGGCCGCCCGGGCAGGGCAGCGGCCCTGGCAGCCCCTCCTGCCGGCGGGACCAGCAGTGCTGCACACCCGCACCACGCAGCTCTAAAACCACCAAGCAACCACAACAAAAAGACCCCCAACAAAACCACAAACCAACAAACCCAAACCTAACCAACCAGTGTTTTTGTTAGAGCTGGAGAAGTGGGGAGAGCTCATCTCCAGCAGAGCAGGTTGTGGAGCAGAGTGTGCTGGCACTGCATCACACACCTGGCTGAAAGGGAAACAGCAGGTTATTTGCAATAAAACTATCATCCTTTCCTACCACAGGATGTGGAATATACTGTATCTTATCCTTGTTGCTTTTGCTTAAGGAAACCCTCCCTGCTGATCTGTCTCATGTCAGCTTAAGCAGCCAGCTGTTAGGTACCAGAGGTGGCATTGAGCAGCTCTGTCACACCCAAGTTTCAGGCAACAGACCTGCTGTTCCATCAGTGGCTGTTGAAGAATCTCCAAACACTGTCAAGGGAAAAGTTTTATGTCAAAAGAAATTATACATATGCATGCATTCATCAACAATAACCAGCTTTGGTTTATGTTGCTTTATTCCCTTCCTTGCCCCAGTTTACTCTGGTCCATTACATTAGTAATTACATACATTACATTCCTGTATGAAAGCAAAGTAGAGATATTAAGCTTAACACAAATGTTATCAGAAATCCACAAGCAAGCAATCATGTAGCTTTACAATACAATTACTCTGTTTTACTAGTTTCTGGCAAAGCATTTCTGCCCTTCCAGTGCATCAGACATGGCAACTACATGAGAAGTCAGCCATGACACAAGGTTCACGTTCCCAGAGCTGCTTTGTTTCTGTGCTTTAGCAGCAGCACATGTTTTACATAAAGATTTTATCATGGTGCAGTCTTGGAGAACATAGCCTAAAGGATTAAACTATATTGGAAAATATGCTTAGGAACATGTCTTGAGTATGTGAGCCACAAATTCAGTTGATGTGACCAGACTTGAGTTAGCATGAAGCGAAACCACCATGAAATGTTTGTAGGAGGTCCACAGCAGCAGTTACTTTAGAGATTTGTTCCCTCCAGTTCATGCTACCTGATGATACAGACAGGCAAAGCATCAGTAAATCATACCATTAATTGATCCACTTTATGTGGATAGTTTTTTAGAGACTGCTCTTGCCTTCACTGTGACAATACCAAAAAATTATCTCATACTAACAAAAACTTCCGCTATGCAATACAGAAATGAAACTCCTTACATTGTTGACACAGAAGTTTGTCTTCATATTTCTGAAAAGTCTTGCTCAAACAAGCCTGGAACACACCCATGGCTGCAAAATGTTGTTGTCTTATCAGAGGGCATAACAACATGTTTTCACCATTTTAACTTTATCCCCATTTCATACATCTTGAATTCTGTTAGATGACATGTTGTACTTCTGTGATTCTTCAAGGTACATGCAAGTGCTCCTTAAAAGCAAAAGGTATGTGGATAGTGATTTAGTTCTCTCAGCTAAGAGAATTAGATGTGTTTAGCCTGGAGAAAAGGCGGCTCAGGAGAGACCACATCACCACTTGTACCAGTACTTGAAGGGTGGCTACCAGGAAGATGAAGACTCCCTTTTTACAAGGAGTTATATGGAAAAGACAAGGGGTGATGGCTACAAGTTATTCCTGGGAAGATTCCAGTTAGACACAGAAAATTTTTTCACAATGAGAACAGTCAGCCATTGGAGTAATCTCTCTGGGGAAGTGGTGGATTCTCCAGCTTTGGGCTGTTTATGTTATGTCTAGCTTTATGTTTTAAAAGACAATTTTATCTACTTGATATTATCTCTTCATTAAAAATTGTGTTCACATATAGGAGCTATAATTTTCACCTGGTGGCTGTGAATTAAGAAAACGCAGTTTTCTTAAGTGAGGAAGTAACAGTTTATTTACTGAATTCCATTAGTTTCAGGATACGTCAAGAATATCTAGGTAGACATTTTCCAAGATTGAGAGAGCTGCCCAAAGAATGAGGTGCAAATTTTTATATATGTCTATACTGCTCCTGTAGGACAAGAGCCTGCAAGTTTATGTCTTTGGCTTGGCTAACCATATGCTGGTGAGAGGACTGATATTCCATAGGGTATAGCACTGTAATAAATGTGAGCCTCTTGCTCATGTACGATTGTCAATAAAAACCCTTTCAAGTCCTTTTTTGGAACAGATTCAGCATCTGAATAGCAATTCATCATCTGACTTCCAAATTTCTACAAAGCTACTTTCACTTTTGAAGCTCTGGTACAGTTACAAGAGCTCAGTCCACCCTGAAGCACTTTAGGGTTGTGACCTATAACTTGTATTGACACAAGACACCACCGATGTAATCAACTTCTACATCTTTCTGAATAAGATCAAGACTTGAACTAGCAAGGCACTCTCTGTTTTTGACCACATATCCCCTCCACTGCACCCACCCACCTGCCTGCTTATGGCAGAAAAAGCTCCTTTGGCTTAAAATGTCATGTGTTTAGTTTGAAGTCAGAGGTAGTTTTGGGAAAGTTTGAGGTTAGCACAGGCATGATCAGGAGTAAATATAAACTGCAGCTGTGTGTCATTCTTGCTTCTCCAGTCATGTGTGTGTAGTATTACCAGCACAGTGTTGCCATTTTAGAATAGGTAATTACCAAAATGGTTAAACAGATAAAGAATAACTGTTATAATTTAACTTTATATTTTTCTTGTAAATTATAATAGCTATTAAGTTTATCATCAACAATTACAATTATTTATATATGTATAATTTTACTATACATAGTAATACAATAAATGTAATAGTTTAATAATTATGACATAGGCTATACTGCTGTTAATTGTTTACAGGAGAAGCTTAATGAGACAATCATTGAATTAAAAAAATCTTATTCAGAAAACCAGTTTTATTTCCTCAGCTTCAAGGGATGAAAAGTTACTTAAATGCAATAGCCTCTAGTTAAGTGCTACTTGAAAGTAATTAACACAAACTATACAGAATAAGTTTTTGTACTTGACATATTACCCTGCAAATTGTACTGTGCTCATTACAGCATTCTTCAACCCCCCTGCCTTACTGTACAGGCCAATATTCTAGGTACTTCTTCCACTGAAATTCCCCTTTGTTATGGACAATTTTTTTTTTTTTTAATGAGGAAAACAAATTTTCTAGTAAAATTAATGAACATTAATTTATAAGAACTGTTAGATTCTCAAACTGTACTTCATCTGTAAAAAGAATTGTTTGTTTTCAGACATCACATATGAAGGTCCATTTTATCTTATTCCCAGCAGCTGTATTATTTTTAATTTTTTTTTAAGTTTCAGAACTCCTGTTCTTGTTTTCAAAATAGTTCTGAAAAGGCTAAGATCTGTCTCAGTTCTTTTGTGCCTTGCAATGCTGATTTATTTCATGAAATGATGAGGATTTTAGAGTACAGTGTTGAACATAAGCACTAAATTCCTTCATGCAGTACCAAAGAAACTGGGGAAAGACTCTAGATTTTGTTCTGTCTTTGTGAAAGTTCTGACACGAACTTCACATTCCATCTTTCAGCTTTAGATTGAAGGTTGGATATTGGAAACACTATTGTTGGATAATGAAGATAAACATCAATATATGAAATAATAGCAGCTACAAACCAGAATACCATTACAAACTAGAAATAGTTGTGTTATACCACACTGTTAGCAAATATTGATACATTTCTTCTTGTCCTGTAACTTCTCAAGTACTCTATGTTTGTTTTTTTTCTCCTAGGCACCCACTGGCCACCTTTTTCCACCTGTTTTTCCGAGTGAGTGCTATTGTTACCTACTTGTTCTGTGACTGGTTCAGCAACAGCTTTGTTGCCTGTTTTGTCACTATTCTCCTCCTTCTATCCTTTGACTTTTGGTCAGTTAAGGTAAGATCACCCTCAATAGTTATTACTTTAGAAAGTATTTTTTGTACCATTAAGTGAAACAAAAAAGGAAATCTATATTGGCAAAAGTGACAGTGACATTATGATCTGCTCAGTCATTAAATAACTAGTGTGTTTTAATTAAGACATTGACCTGTCTTAGTTACTGTTAGTGTTTATCACCATGTACTCTATTGCTGATGGGAGCTAATAATATGGTGGGAAAATGGCCTTACATAGGTCTGTATGCTTTCCTTCTTAAAAACAACCCAGAATACTGGCTTTCAGTAACAGGTGCCAAAGGATGTCCAAAGCTGCAGTACTGCTCCCAGACCCAGCAGCTACAGAGCTCCTGGGAGCCCAGGTACAGCACAGGTGCCCTAGAGCAGGCAGGTGGGTCAGGCCAGCCCAGAATCCCAGGGGCTCCAAGTGTGGAACAAGGCTTTTGTTTTGTAGAAGTGAAGCAAGGAAGCATCTTCAGTACACCGAAAACTTCTAGTATTCATCCAGGTGAAGAAATCTTTTCTTAATCTATTTGCTTGATTCCACACATCCTACTCACTTGCTTATAATTAATCTTCCATCTTTTTTCAGTGTTTTCATTCAGAATTTGCCTTTTGTACTTAGAAGGTGTGTGTATTGGGGGCTTCTGCAACTAATTGACTTAGAAAAGATACACCCTATAATTTCTTACCTAAATCAGTGTTATTGTGCTAATTATTATATTAGAAGAGGAAAATGGGCTTCTTAATTTGTGGTAACTAACCCATCCTTATTGACCACTGCTCAGTCAGGCACAGCTTTTAGAACTAATTTTAATATTTGATAAAAGAATATGATGTTCACACAGGCTTGTCTTTTTTTAAATGTTAGTTTGACGAGTGAATTATCCAACCGATTAATGCAAATAACTGTTTGTGTCACTAGAACGTGACAGGAAGACTCTTGGTTGGTTTGCGTTGGTGGAACCAGATTGATGAAGATGGAAAAAGTCACTGGATGTTTGAAGCAAAAAGGGTAAGTATGTTAATAAAAGTAGGCACAGGGCAAACAGCATCCAGAGGGAAGCTTTTAAAGCTGATACTAAATCAAATAAAGTAACAAATACAGCTCCTTTGTAACAGGTAACTTTTATCCAGCTCCTATAGAAGCTGGAAGTTACTCAGTTACAAGGACAGTCCATTGTCACATCCGGGAAGCACTCAGAACAAAACAGGTCTCAGAACCTTGTCATCACATTGTCACCATGCATGTCAGCAGAATAAATACTCCTTGCATGGTACTATTGGAATTGAATGCTTCTGGTAGTTCTTCTAGTGAAAACATCTTACAGTAAACACATCTTCCCATAGTTAATGCCTGTGCAGAATCTTTTTCAGGAAAGATCTATGTTGAAAGCAATGCTGAATAGTTTAACAATGAATATTTTATTCATGCTTACAGAACATGATAGGGAATAGAACCCAGATCAATTCTGATACTGCTAGTGCTCCCCCGAACACCCTGAGTAAAAAAGCTGCAGGATGTCCCTTGGCATCTCTACCAGAGCCAACACTGCGAGCTTTTGCTTTCCCCCCCTCACATTCTCTCCACAGCCCCGTCCAGGCACGGGCCGAGCCGGGCAACACTTCCAAGATCTGCTCACTAGCACATCCCTCTGCAGCCGAGGAGCTGAGCCGCGGTGCAACCCCGCAAGACGGGCCTGCAGTGCCCTCTAGCAGCCGCGCGACGGGCAGAGGAAAACCAATGTTAACGTTCTGAAATCTAAGTGAAATCTCACGAGAGAGCATAGGCAAGCCTGCGTGAAAGCAAGGAAACTAGCAGACCTTTAGATTTTCTTAGGTCCATCGAGACAGTAAGCAAGAACTGTCTTAGAACTTCAAAACAATAGCAGACATAAAATGACTATTACTGTAACACGAGCCAGCCTAGCTTACTCATTACCATTTCTTAATTCTAGACTAGAAGTACAAGGTCAATTCACCTGTATGGGCTAAAGCTTTCAAAAAATTCTGGCAAGTGGTACCTTGGTTAATGCGAAAATCACAGTACCATGAGAAGGAACATATAATTAAGGTGGAATGTGATTTTTTTTTCATGGCTTATCTATGAAAAGCACTTTGTCATGGCAAGGTCCTGAAATACACATGACTCTCTTACTTCCCAGAGTCAGGCATTCCCCAGCCCTCTACAAGCTTTTTAATAGAAATATTCCAAGTCACTCACCAAAACTAAGCAGCTAATTCCCGGTGGGCTGATGCAACAGAGGTTCAATCTTGAAGTCCAGCCTTCTACTGAGGTTTGCTGGAAGAAAAGCAATTCTGTCACTTAGATTCCAAACATCACAACTCTCCTGTCCTTTCTTTGGGATGACTGTAGCCTTTTGTAACCCTGCTCATCAAGTTAACTTAGGTCTTTTAGGTGCAGTGTTGTTCTCAGGTGCATTGACTTTTTTTCTCCCAAATAGTGCCAATGCAACATCACTGAGGGGTAATTTGTCAGTAATTTGGGTTACAGGTGACCAAACCCTTCTATTGACTCACAACATCTGCCTCATTCAGTAACTGTGAAGGCATAGAACATGGTTCTCTGGACCTCTGCAGCACCACTGGTTTAGAGGGTAAATGAAGAAATTTGTAATTTTGTAATTATTGCATCTTGCAGGGTTTTCCCAGGCAAGATAGAGTAACTTAACCATATCTACAAGACTTGTGGTGGATGGATAGAGATGAGTCTTATTTTTGCATGGAGAATTCAAGACACAGAAAATGACCTAAAGGCTTTTCAGTTTTCAGAGTGGAAGTGTCTACAGGGTTTTCTTTTCCCCAGTGGTAGCTTGTATTTCAGAAGCTACCACTGGGGAGGGGCAGTGGTCTGAGGTTTGGAGTGGGATTTTGAATTCTGGTCACCTAGGAAAGAACAGAACCTTGTGAAAAATTCCTTCAGCTTCTTTAAAGCATTGAGAGTTAACAGTGAGCCTTTCCGTGAAGACAGAAACTTGAGTTGTGCTGACCTGAAGAAACCTGCAGCCAGGGCTTTTTGCAGCCTCTTTTGGGGATTTTTGTTTTTTCTGAAGAACACAAATAGAGCACCATGGCTTTTTTGATACTGGACTGATTTTCTCCCCCCTACTTTTGATTTGTAAACAGGCCACATGTCACAAATCTGCACTACACAGTGAAGTAGTCACCCTAAGATCTGCTTGTAGCACTGCCTTCTTGTTTTGCACTTCTCTAAGGCCTTGGTGAAGTTTGAATCTAATTTCAAAGTTAACTTAGTATTTCTGAAGATAATAAAACTTTGACTTTTAAATATGAACAATCCATAGTGTTAGTGGAACCTATCATTGACAAAAGGAGTAATTCTGTCATTTGAATGTGAACAGAGACCAGAACATTTTAAAAGGAAAATGTTGTCATGTACAGTAGAGTACCAGGCAGAAAACTACTTCCCTTCTTATTTAAATTTAATTCCATGCATATAATAAGGAAATGTAGGTAAATAAGTAATTTTGTCCAGTCTTCCTCCTCTGCTTATTTGTTATTTATTGTGGATTTTATCTTTGTGACTAGTAGTTACAGTAATTTTCCTTCTAGGTACCTACAATAGTCACCTCAACTGAAGCTGAAGCTCGAATCTTTTGGCTTGGCCTCATTATCTGTCCAGTTATTTGGACAGTGTTTTTCTTCAGCACCTTGTTCTCCTTGAAGCTGAAATGGCTGGTAGGTCTGGGGGCACTGACAGGTCTACAGCTGACAAACCATGTTAGCAGAGGGAAAATCCAGATCTGTTAGTTTTGTAACAGTTTTAAATCAAATATTCCAACAACACAAAAATCCCTCTACCAGCTTCAACAAATCAGAGGAGTTTCCTGCAGTCAAGCCCTGGAGTCTGAGACAGATTAGTGATTTTTAGCCTCACTTCTTCTAGGGCATCAGATGTCAAGTCTTTCAGGTACCATGGGAACCTGCAGTGGTTGGCAAAATTACGGACTTTTTTTAAACTGTAGTAACTTACTTTTCCCCAACTTACTTCAGTCCAAGGAAATTAAAAGAAGACAAAAAATGAACCACTGATGCTGGCTTTCAGGTTTTCCCATCTCCTTGGGACTTGAATGTTGCTTGCTCTTAAAAGCACTACTTTTAAATCTCTGGTACCATTTCCCCTTTGAAAGACCCAGTATCATAGTGCTTAAAACATTGATCAATTGAGCTGTAAGTAGGTATGTAATCATTACTGCGTTTACAAGCCATCTACTGTACAAAAAGAAAAATAAAAACATTACACATTTTTCTAAGTATCAGAGGAAATTTACCCCATATATTGCATTAAGATAACTTTGTTTGTGAAATCTTCACATTGTTGCCTGTAAACATTAATTGCATGGATAATGACCATACAATTAATTTTGTCAAGTTCCTAGCCATGCCAAGTTCAATTTCTTAACTCAGTTTGAAAAGAAGGAAAGCAAGTGTCCTGGACACGTGCAGCTACATAACCAGCAACAGCCAAGATTACCTTTTTATTAGCAAATGAAACAGGAAATGTAGCTATAGGTATTAATCAATTACAAAGCATTAACTGCTTTCTAGTGCCCCAAATTGCACCACTGCACAAGAAATAGTTAAAATTAAACCAGTAGTCTTTCTCCAGAGGTTCTTCACTAAACTAAAAGCTGGTTGGAGAATGAACTTAACTAGCACTGGAGGCAGGTTGCTCAAGAGCTTGTAAAAGGCAAACTGCTCAAATGAAAACAAGACAGATTCCAGGAAACTGTTTCTGAGGCTAAGAAAAAACATTTTTGGAAGTTATTTCATTGGCCAGTCAGATGGGTTCTGCCTGCTGCTAAGCCTATAGGACCACAAAATGATCTATTTTCACTTAACACTAGTTGTTAGTATGTATTGATGCTCTTTGTAAGTCTGTAAGTTCCAGCATCATATTTGTACATAATAAGGTATTTGCCAGCTAACCAAGCCTGCAGGCTTGCTATGGATCTGGATGTGAAAATTATGAGACACAAATCAGGCTATTAAAAAAAAAGTGAAATTATTACAGGATCAGTTGAATAGATCCTTTTTTGAATAAGTACTTTTAGGAACATAATTAAGTCTTCAAGATACAGAATGACAAAAACCCCTTCTGTTTTGATAAAAAGAGAGGCATTTGGTAGAAGGGAACTATTGTGTCTAAGTTTGATATGACTGGATCTCTTTGAAGGTCATGTATTATTGGAAGGAATAACCCCCTCCTATAGTATGTATGTATATCTATATAGTATATATCAATATACACACATGGGTGTACATATATGTTACACGTACAGTCTGTATGTAGCAGTGGATTTATCCCAGTTGAACCTTTTTTGTCCACAGGCTCTTGTGATAGCTGGGATCTCCCTTCAGACTGCTAATTTATACGGCTACATCCACTGCAAATTAGGGGGACAAAAAAGCCTCAGCAGACTGACATCAAGGCTTTTGGTCAGAGCAGATGTTCCCAAGAGTAAGTACTGAGTTGGTCTCTCAACTACAGCCCATGAAGTGTCACACACTGACCTGTCTCAAGCTTGTTTTTTCCCCCCACGTTCTTAAGTTCCTAAAATAACTCCTGGCAGGGGTCTTGGATTTCCAATAACCCTCCTGTGCAGAACTTGCTGGGTGGGGCTGTACCCCCGTGTCCCTTGGCCCTCTCATACCCCTGCTGCAGCTTCACACCCCTGCTGCTCCCAAGCCCCATGAAGAACTTACCTCCTCGGGGGAATTCCTTCTGAGGTATTACAGTGCCTCTGCCTAGGCTGAGCTGGGAAAGCCATCTCTGACCCTCAGGTCTCCACCAGGCTCTTCCCTGTTTTTCATAAAAGATTCCTACATACTTGGTCATGCTAACCCCTCCACTTCCTGTGTTCATACAACAGGACAGACCATGAGAATTTCAGATGACTCCATTAAGGAACACGGGAAGACAGGCACTAGATAATCAACTAAGGAAGAACTAAAAGGATGAGCAGTAAAAATACTCACTTATGAAATCTCTTCATATGAATATATTTAAGTAAAAGCTACTCTGGAATTATGCCTGCATGAAATAAGGATTTTTATGTTCTATGTGTTTGAGTATTTAGATTCCTAAAGGTTCAGAGCCTTTGTTACTCAAAAGTTTTATCAAAAAGCAGTTTGTATTGGGACAATAACAATGCTTATGGTTTATACAAAGCAAACTTCTACCAGAAAAAATTGTCAGCTAACCTGAAACTGTTGGATTATCTTAACCAAGGATTAGAATGTAATCAAAAGGTAATGCTCATTTGTGTTACTTTGGAGCAACAATAAACAAAATCAAACTGCCTTTCCCTCTTGTCTGCAATACTGATTTCTCAGAGCTTTGATTTCTCAATAAAAAGAGGAAGTACAATCACAAAGGGCCTCTTATGAAAGATACTGAATGTTTATTTTTTAGTGCTCAGGCTTAGGGTTGAGTATAAGTAATGTAGCACATTCACATAGTGCTTGTGTGAAGCAGCCAGTTATGTATAAATAGGTAAAATGTTACTATTTTTCTGATACCTTTAATAAATATCATATTTGTACGATAATTAACTTACGTAAATTCTAGGTTTTTATTTTAAAACTGATGCCAATTATAAGAACAGGAGACAATACCAAACTGAACTTCACTCTAAATCCAGATCTTTTCCACTGAAAGGAAAGATACTTAACTAATGTTACTCAGTAAGAGAGTGGGCATTCTAGTTCATCCTGCACAGAAGGCAGCACAAAGCATAGCAGATGCATTAGACACACCACCCTGATGTCAGCCAGGGGTATTTTATATTCAACTTTCTAAATAAAATCTTGTATAGGCAGGTCTTCAAACCAACTGCACATTCAGGTTCTTATTACTATGACAGCAGATGCAGACTGCACCTATATAACACAAATTAACACTCAGTTTGGTAGCTTTCTGGCAAGCTCCAAGACCACCTGTGAACGACTAGAATCTTGAGCTGTGGAAAAAAAACTAAGGGAAGAACATTTATATGAAGAATTTATTTGCAATATACAAAAAGAATACATTTCTTCCATTAAATCAAGGCATAAGTTACTTTCCTATAATTAAAACATTAACTACATTCATAGATTAGATAATCTTTTCTTCTTGAAAATGGTGTTGATCACAGTATTCCTGAATTCCTGCAAAGGGAAAAAGTAATATAGATTATATTTCAGTTGCACATCAGAAGCTGGTTAGTGCTGCATCACTCTGTTCTCTGTTGGTACAAAGCTCACAAGTTAGGCCTTTATCATGATGAAAATAGCTTTAGGAATTTCCCAGCTGCTTGTTTCACACATTTTGTTTGATTGCTGCACATCACTGGCTCTTTAGGTAGTTTTTGTAGGGGTTTTTTGTGCAACTACAATCAGAAGTGGAGGCAAGAATTAGCCAGCTGTACCACACTCAGCTGTGGTAAATGCCCCTCAGCAGGCCTGCTTGAGCATCTCACAACCTATCTGTGACAGCAAGAAGACACTCTTCTCTGATAATTAATGACTGGAGGCAAATATCAAAACCAGTTATCGGATACAACTTAGCTACAGCTTTAAAGCTTGTGGTAGCTGATGACCAGAACTGAACATAGTATTTGCACCTGTTGCTGTGCACATCTACTCTATTATTTGTGGCAGAATAACCTAATTCTGTTCAGCACCTTTCTACATTGCAGAACTGCTACCAACTGATTTTCAGACTTACTCTGAATGATGTTCCTGTAAGACAATGTAGCTGGAGACTCAGGTGCTTCAGACAAGAAAGACTGGCCCTTGTCACAACTTTTTCCTTTAAGGACAGGGAAAAACATGAAAGCAAACCAATGGGAAAAGATGAAATTTATTTTACTCTTTATCCTGCTACCAGTTACACCCTTCCCAAGAGTCATTTGTGTCTGTGCACCTTTTAAGAAGTCCTTTATGTCAGTAATATATCTGGAACTACAGCTTAGTTTTACAAAGGAGTACTAATTAGCAGAAACCTGCTCCTCACTGTCACTAACTCAAGTATTAATTGCTAGTAGCCAGCAGGCAAGGAACCAAGGTTTCTCACTATACACAACAGAATATGGGTGGTGCCAGTAACAGTGAAGTGAAGCACTATTTTTAATGCTTAATGTCTACAAGATACTATTCTTCATAGTGGTTATGATTTTATTTAGTTTACAGTTCCAGGTGATTACACCAAAGATAAAAAGGTTGTGTACTTTGAATGTGATTATACAGCTAATAAGACACATAATCTAACCTTAATCAAGACTAAGTCTCAGACTAAGGGAATTATCCCACCACCTTCTGCTTTTCCCATCATGCCATATCACAGTTCCAGTTCACTTGTAATTTAAAAGTGTTTTCTATCTAAAAGTGGATATTTACATAACAGACAAAATGTTTGATATTCTGATTTATCAATGTCCAAGTCTGGATTTTTCAGTAATACCATCAGTTTAGGGGGAAAAATTTGCTTTAAATGTAGTGCAATACAGTAACTTTACCTATCTGGGGATCTAGAGGCACTTTACCCAAGAGGGAAACATTTAAGTTCTGGCACATCTTCTCTGCACCTCCAGTAGTTGGGGGAAAGATCTGAGATTCATTCTGGGACAACATGAAAAGAAGAGTTAAAATACCACAATTCTGAGAACAAGGTATTTTTGGAGCAATGTTCTATATGCAAACAGTGTCAAGATAGAAACCACTGTAAGATACAGACAGACTTACCTTACACTTTGGACATATGAAGCCACTCATATTTTCCACGACACCTATGATGGGCAGTTTCACTTTATGGCAGAAGTTGATCTCCTTCCGAACATCCTGCAGTGCTATCTCCTACAAACATCAGGAAACACCATTTTGACTGGAATGTTTTGATGCTGAACCCATTAAGTTACATCCATAGAGCTGTGTTCAAGAAAGGTCATAATGAATGATTACCCATCTCTTTGTGGTTTGAAGAACATAAACCTGTGTTATGTGCTCTAGCAAATCTGACTTGACTATGACTCATATTTTATCTCCTATACTAATACCTTATCTTTGCTCTTTAGATGTAACTTTTTCACATTTTCAGTTTACAGAAAGATCCTTGGCATTCTCACAGCAGGCAAGGACAAGAATGTTTCAAATTAACTTTCAAATAGCTTATCATCCCCTCAGATTCTTTGCACTCAGTTCTCCTGTTCCCTTCTCCTTCCCTCACCATCTATCTGACATCACCCTCAACATTTCACTTCCTTTACCTTTTATTCTTTTGATTGTTATGGAAACATGAGGTGTCTTTTGCTAGTTTGATCTCCTGTTGCTCTCCAAACCAGGCTTTAAAACCTACATTTCAATTACGCATTATACTCCAGGGCCTGATTTTTATTTTAAAAATACAAATCATAGAGTTGCCTATGGGAGGCAAGAGGCTACTTCACATTGTGTCAAACATCTCACCACTTACAAACTAAACTTCTTCCTGACTTTCTGAACATGAAGCCATTGGCAAGTAAATAACAAATTCACAGTGATGTGAACTCCAATGACAAAGAAGGAAGTGAAACATTGCACTTCCCTTCACCACAGACCATGGCAGCTTTTGCTTGTGAACTGCTCAGTAGGTGAGTGACCCACGCAGATCCCCCATGGCACTGACACAGCCCCCAGCTCATCAACCAGCCAGCTGCAGGCACCAAACAAGAAAGTCAACTCTATGAGATCCTGTACCATCACTTCTTGAGACAACTAAGACACTCCAAACCACAAACTGGCTTTAGCTGCTTCCATCAGTGGAAACTAAGTGGATGTACCTGAGGGGTGGTGATTATAACAGCACCATCTATGTGTGCTGCACTGAGATACTGCACAATAGATAAGTGCTCATCTGATGTTCCTGGAGGGGTATCTACAATCAGGTAATCGACTTCACCCCAGTCCACGTCACGAAGAAATTGTTTGATCAGCCCTAAAAATAAGAATAAAAATGTAGGAGAAAAAAGAAAAATCTCCCTATATTTAGTGTTTTAGGGTCTAGTTACACAGTTCTTTGCATTTGTCAGCTTGAGTACAGAAATGCTTATTTTGCCAAAACACTACAACATTTGAACTTCTAACTTCATCAGATGAATATGTTCAACTACAGAAAATAAGCAATGACTCATTTTTTTTCCAATATATTGGAAAATATATATTACTGTACTCTTATTTAAGTTAATAAACGAGCTCAAGATACTAAATCCTTCCAGTATATAAATCTGCTTGACAACACTTGATACCTACCATTTTTTTTTGGTCCTCTCCAGATGACAGCATCATCAGGACTACTAAGCAAGAACCCCACAGACATGACACCTAAGTTTTCTTCCACGTACTAAAACAGAAGTAGAGAAACTCAGTCGAGCATACAGAACAGTGAAGAGAAGCAGAGAAAACAACTCCAAATCCAGGTTTTATTTAAAAAGTAGGTTGGGGTGAGGGAGATATTAAGACAATAAAGGCAGAGATCCTCATACTTCTTTTTTACCAAAGGCCAGTGGAAACTACCATTTTTGTGCAATACTCACCAACTACATTCAGAGACTGAAAAAAATCTAGTTATAGCAAGATTTACAATGGTTTATGGAATCACTGGAGAGAACAAGGACTAAAGCAGCTTTCCCTCTCAACCTGAAGCTGTCACCTTCACAGCACACACTCTAAAACTGATCTCTAGACAACAACACTCCTGCAGAGCTTCCCCAGCATTTCTCAAGATTAATGAGGCATTTCTGGGGTGTAAGATACTTTTTGTCTGTCACAAAAGTCACATTTGTGTGTCAAAGGTGACATACTGCACAGCTGCATGATAACCAAAATAATGAAATCAGGTCACATATTTATTAGCCATAGTATAGTAGGAAAGTCAGTAAACAAGAGATACACTTCTAAAATAGCTTCATTATTTTAAGTAGTATTGTTATGATTAACAATATATACATATATACATATAACAATATATACTGGTCTACACAGCCTATATCCAGATTCTACATAATTCTATAGAATCTAGGTTTGTACAACATTCTGTAAAATCCAGATATTTACATCATTAGAAAAATAATTAATAGAAGTATCACTTGCTCCTTCCTTGTTTTTCTTTACTAAACAAGACAGTGCCCAGCCCAAACAAACCAAAAACATTTTCTGAAAGATAACACCAGCTTACCACTGGAGACCATCCAGAGCCACTCTGGTGAACCTGGAAATGGAAATGATACATAAAATTACATTAGAAATGAATACAGATGTTCCACACAACATGAACTTAAGTCAAAACTGGGTAAATAGATACCCTGCCTATAGGCACAATACTGCTCCATTGGAGCAGCTGAGTGAAAAACTGCAGGAGGGCCAGATCCCCACTAAGAAGTGAGCAATAACTGTTCAACACTTCTGCAAGAAATTTACTCACTACTTTATAACTTTATACAAAAGATTACAGGGCTGATAAAGAGAACCACGTTGACAGTACTTGAGTTTTAAGTAGTCATGAACATGTGGCAGATGGTCATCCTGAAAGCAGACAACTCTTTTACAAACTCAGTTATCTGAACTTCCCCAGCTCTCTTTACTTCTCTACCCACTGCCACGTTTCCCAACAATGTTTATGCACTTTGAGAAGCCTGAAGTCTACAAAACCCTGAGATCTTAACGAAAAAACAAACAGAAATCCTTCAAATGACATATTCGAGCTTTCACTTACCTGTTCCCCTTCTAGACCCATCATTTTAGGGATCGACGGCCCACAGATGTCAATGTCCAGCAGAGCAACCTGGAAAACAAACCAGCCAACCCCCCATTGCTGGAAACAACCGCGCAGGGGCCTGTTCCCCAAGTCCGTACCGCGCAGCCAAAACACTATTGCACGTGTAACCCGGGAAACGCAGGGAAACCCTTAAGGAGAAGGGGGGGGCGATACACTCAGTCTCCCCGCGCTCGGGACCCCGGGGGTTCCGCAGGGCCGGGGACACAGCCCAGGGGTGCCCCCCGGAACCCCCCTCCCCCCTCCGGGACCTTCCTCCTCCCTCCGGGGACCCTCCCC